CTCCCGTTCGATAAAATCCATTGCACAACTAATTATCACAACGATGAGAACAATTTCTCTCTTGAAAAATTTGAAAATTTACTTGCAATTTCGACAGAGGCGATGTCAACAATGTCTTCGTGACGTATTGGTCGAATCCAATATACCTATTGCGGGGGTTGGTTAACATTGACAGATAGTTTGACAGCGCGATCATTTTGATCGTATATGGGTTTGGGCGACGAAAAATATCAATTGAAGGCAATTACATAGGAGATTTATATGGAAACCATTGATCGCCAGTCTATCAAATTTTCTTCACAATTAAAATATCACTGATTGCACGGATACTCGTAAAAATAAAGTCATGAATAAACTATAAATATCCTATCTTCTTTATGTTATAAATAATTTAACAAGGATCATGAAGCTTACCTCCGAATTCTCTGAGTGTATTTTTAATTTTATACGCATTCTTTCGATCGAATAATAACCGCTTCAGTAACATCTTTAAGATTGTTGCGGCAGCCCTCAGCGTGTCTATTGCCGTATTGGGTGCCCGGGTGGGTATATAATGCTACTAAGCCCGTATGACCCCGTAAGAAGCGGAACATTAATTCTCGATTCGACAGTTTTGACCGAAGTGTGATAAAGCCCGTAAAACGAATGTATAGTTGTGTTTGTGCGGCATGCGTGTTCAAAAGTAAATAATCACATCCGAGTCGCTAATCAAATAATTAGAACAAAATATTTCAAAAAGTAAAGCTATAAAATTTGCAGAGATTTTACTAGAATGTAAAAGACGGTAACTAAATACAGGAATGCGGGTAGTTATGTGTGCGAACGCTCAAACTCAATGCCAATTGTCGTAGGTATCCAGACCACTCGGACCAAAGACTACTCGGACTAAGACCAGTCGGACCAAAACAAGACCAGTCGGACCAATTAAATTATATTATAAGGCTAGACAATATGCTATTTATTTATTATTAAATCACAATACAAAGAAGCAAATAATTCTTATACGGAATTCTTATATTTAGAGTTGTTTGGTTCAATTTTGTGTACGTAAATAAATCAACGATTAGTTTTAAAATTAATTAATAATGGTGCAAAAAAAAAATATCAATCTAATTTTTCTTTACTCTTGCAATGAGACTCGGTATTTCCAGACTTTTGACAGTTTCTACATATACGGGTATACTGTTCTTGTCTGATAGCCTAATTTTACTTTTTCCACATTCGCGGTATCCCCAGTGGTTTCATTCCGTTCTACCCCACTAACCCCTGGGTTACTATATATGGGGGGGGGGTGGAGACACGTTTTCAAGTTATCCGCCCTTGATGCGTTAATATAAACAGCACATAATAATACGAAGACCGGACGTTTATATGCCCCTTTTTAATCGTGACTACAAGTGTGGTTCTCGATATTTTGCGATTTGGAATACAATTATCAATTTATTCAAACAACACGTTATTATTAGTTCGAGTAGTTATATTAAAACACACACAATTATCAATTTATTCAAATAACACTTTATTATTGGTTCGAGTAGTCATATTAAAATAAACACAATTATCAATTTATTAAAATAACACTTTATTATTGGTTCGAGTAATTATATTAAAACAAACGCAATTATCAATTTATTAAAACAACATTTTATTATTGGTCCGAGTCGTCTTTCTGTTGGGTCCGAATAGTCTTTTTGTATGGTCCGAGTAGTCTATTTGTTTGGGCTGAGTGGTCTATCACTTGGTCCGACTGGTCTTGAACCGAGTGATCTTTGGTCCGAGTGGTCATGGATTCTTGTCGTAATTGTACTTGAATTTCCTATACTGTCACCCCTAATACGAAATGATATCTTCCGCAGAGTGACGTAACCATCTTCCATATTGGTATTTTTCTCTGGGAAAAGTTTGTGATATTTCAATTTTTCAAGAGAGAACTTGTTTTCATCGTTGTGATAATTAGTTGTGCAATGGATTTTATCGAACGGGAGTTCATTACAAACACACAGGTAAGTTTATAATAACCAACGTTAAGTAGTTTGTTCATAATCGAAGAAATCCGTTTAAAATTTACGATGAATCAGACAGTAATTTCCGCACAGATCAATTCATTAACTTCGCGAGGTATTGACATCCACTGACAGACAAAAACAAGAACAGCCGTTAAATGAAGACGAGTCTGAATTGTAGAGTTCTCAAGTTTGTAGTGTAGTAATATACTGAGTGCCATGGAAATCGCATCACTTAGTTTTTCGTATAACAAAATGATCCTGTAAACATTTTGCTTCTTATTGTGAACAATATTCAAATGGGAACACATCAATAACAACACATGTGTGCACTTATGGATGTTTAATCTGTAATCAACCGTACAAAGTTAGAGGGGTCAAAACCAAAAGTACAACACATGTCAGTAGCGCGTGTGTCCTCCACGGGCTCTTACGCACGCTGTGCAGCGACGTCGCATGGAATTAACCAATGTTTGAAAGAGGGCCTGTGGCAAATTGTTCCATTCTTGGACAAGAGCAGCTTCTAAAGCAGCAATGGTGTGCATCTGTGGTCTCCGATACAGACGGCGTCCAATCTCATCCCAGACATGTTCTATCGGTGCCATGTCCGGAGACATGGCTGGCCAGTCCAAGACAATGATGTTGTTAGCAGCCAGGTAGTCCATACTAAAACGGGCGGTATGCGGACGTGCATTTTCCTGTTGTGGGTGCGCTCGAAACATTGGAACAACAATTGGTTGCAAGACATCATCACGGTAGGCTACAGCATTAACCCGACCCCTGCAAATGTGTAGGGCGGTCCGGTGATGAAATGTGAAGCCTCCCCACACCATTACACTTCCCCCACCTTATCGATTCGTTTCGAAGACGCAGCAGTCTGCAAGACGTTCCCCAAGACGTCTCCACACACGTTGACGGCCATCAGCGTGATAAAAATGAAAGCGACTCTCGTCACTGAAGAGCACACTTTGTCAGTCTACTCTGCTCCACCGCTGACGGTGATGATCCTTGAGGGTAGCTCCAACATAAGGTCGTCGTGCACGGAGTCCTACTTCTCTTAGACGACGTCTTACGGTGTTGGCACTTACTGGTCCTTGTCTCCCGACGACTGCTTCGTTCGAGTCGCTGGGAGGAATCTGTCACGCAGATGAGTGACCCGAATGTAGCGGTCTTGAGCCTGGGTTGTAACGCGTTGTGGATCAGGACGTTGACGGTCACGTTTTGATCCAGTAACTCTTAACACGTTCCACCAACCTTACAATAGTGGTCTGATGATAATTGAAGTGTCTGGCAATAGCACGTGTAGACATGCCAGCCCGGGACATTCCCGTGGCTTCATTCCGTTGATTTTCAGTAAGTCTCGGCATCTCTAGCTTGATTCCTTCACACGTTCAACAACAAATTACGACAAATTGACGTTTCACAGTTCATGTACTGCACATTAAGTTAAAAACATGCTTTTAAAGGGATCACACACAATTTTAATGCTGCACGTGAATATTTGGTTTGTCATGTGCATCCCGTGCAATTTTTTTCGTGCACACGGGCCGATATCTTTTGCTTTTTGGAGCATTGTGTGAAACAATAGTTCATAGTATTGTATAATATTATACATACAAAACCACCTAGTAATAAAATATTTGGGAAAAAAAGTGATGCGTTTTCCATGGCGCTCAGTATATATTTGAATTACGTGCTGCGAATGAGCATAAACCGCGACAAAATGTGAAAGTTTTTAGTGTTGAAAATGCCAAGAGATTAATTTATAGTAGTAAAATATTTGGATTATGTGCTGCAGATGAGCATAAGCCGCGACAAAATGTGAAAGTGCGACTGGATATCAAAATGTAAAGAAATGTGAGACAAAATGTAAGAATATGACTGAGAGTGACGCACATTCGAAAAGTGCTGAGACAGTTGAAAATGATGACTCTTTTACCATAACATGTTCAAAACGGGTTGTAGATGTTCAAATAAATATGTAAATCATGATTTTGTTATTTTTGTCCCTTTTCAACTGATACACGGCCACTTTTCAGAAAAGTGGCCGTGTATCGGTGTATACCCTCCCATTTTCATCAAAGAGTCGAGAAAAAGTATGGGTATAAGTATATTTACAATATGATATATAATGTTATAGCAGTAGGTGTCTTTGAATTAATAAAACGGGTGGTCCAACATTCCTTAGATACCCAAAATAAAAGTGGGTCTAAGCAATGCCAGCAGCACTTGAAGAAATCGCCTATTTATCTAAACGTTTCAGATTAAAACAGACTGGAGAACGTATGACCAACACAAAAGTTTTTATTTCTTCAAATATCATTACAAGAAATCCATTTCTGGTGTGGTCAAACTATATTCATAAGAGTGGGGTTGGGTGGTCGAATGGTTAGCGCGTGTGCGCTATATCATAAGGTCTGTCATTGAGACAACGGGCGTGATTTCGATTCCACGGTTGTACCCGACAAGGAGTAGGATCGCTTGTCCAGCCCCGTCGTTTCCTCCCACTGCTAAAGACCCCAAAGCGCAAGCGAACAATTGAAATAAAATTGAACCATATGTTGGTTCCGAAATGACCCACTTTGCGTCGAGTGGACATCATTTGCCCGGTTTGGTGCAGAAAAGTAGGGCGTTAAACCGCATTTCATTTCCTTTACAACCATAAATGTTTCAGTCTATTATATATATCATATTGTCAAAATTCAATACTATTTCGGCCAAGAAGGAGATATTTTTTAACAAAAATAAATCGGCCTAATGGGAGGCTTCTATCATTCGGTAAATTTATAATCTCCATCGTATGAACATATAGAGGCCCACTTTCAAGATTATGCGTATCACATGGTACCACCCAATCAAATGTTACTACGACCTAGAAGACGGTGTGATAAAGAGATAAAATGAACCACTGCAACTTTATTTGCATCCCACTAATCTAACACCTTACGCTTCTATCGCATTCAACCTACTAGTCCAAACTTTGTAATATTTACCTACCAGTCCAAGCAGTGTTAATAGGTACATCCTTATTTCAATGTCTGTTCTTTCAGATTGATTTATCTTGGGGCGGATCATTGCTGAATAATTTGACTTCTTAAATAGATCCTCTTTTAATCTGTTAACGTCATTAATAGAATAACAATGAATACCTGTAATAATATATATACTTCATAAATAGAATAGAATGTGTGTTGTTGACCTTGACCTTATACAATTGAAAAAAAAATGGGAGCGAACCCTATCCTCCTGGTCAGCCAGCGAAATGCGTGCTAAGTGAACTACCTAGACTAATAGGTCTAAGGCAGACGGACATGCAGTGTGCTATGCGGTAATTTTACCCGGACAGCGGCAATCCGGCCTGATTTTATTTTGAATTCCGTCAATAATTCCTTTACGCGAATACCGGTAGCCAACCGCCTGGTTAGCGAGGCAGCCGCCTTGCTCACTGAGTCACCGTGACTCTTTTGAAAGAATAAAATTAGAAACAGGCCCAAACGTTCTTATCGCGCGTGCATAGCTTCACGTTATGAGATAATCGGTTTACTTTAGTTTTAATGGTATTCAATGAAGACGTCATGTGGACAAAAGACGCGTTATATAAATTCGATGGCAACCAATTACATACCCAAATGACTTATATGCACTGTAGAAGCCAGAAACTCGTATTTTGGTAAACAATTAAATTAAACATAACCAATATTAAAGGTTAAGTTATATAATCTATATTTTTGTTTAAAAGGTGCACATAACCATTGTTTATAAACTGATTTTAATAAAATTTTCCGAATATGCATCAAATGACCCATTTTATCGTTTGTCATTGGCTTTTTTTCAATTTTATGACGTCACTTTAAAAAAGATGTAGGTCAAGTATCAATTTTCTACTGCGGCAATCGATTGCGAATAGTTCCAAAATTAAGACGATGCTGAAAATTCGATAAGAATTGTACGACAAGTAGGATTTTGAAGATTGACTTGCATTTTCAAAATGGTGGCACTTCCTGTGAATTTTAACTTTAAGCGATTACTCTAAAAAGTTGATAGACGACTCGTAGTGACAAATATTTTTAAATAAGGCAAAATTAAAGAAGTTGAAACCCTGACTTCATCTTCAAAGGGGATATAATCGAAAAAAAAAATTTGTTGACATGTTTGGCTTAATCCACCCATTTGTAATGTATTCTGAAAGTTTCAAGTCGAAATCTTCAAAATTAAAAATTTTCACTTTTGAGCATAAAATTAGATCATCGCATGCGTGGTAGAGACCATAATGTCTCGACATAAAAGTTAAGAAATACAAACAGCTACAAATTGGTAAAAACCGCATTCAAATTGGATTAAAAACAAAATTTTTCTCTGATGTCTAATATTGGTCTATTTTGGTCGATGACGTCACTTCCTATTATCATTTTTGAAGTTTTAGTTATTCATTCACCGTTTGAACTAAATACCTTTCGGATAGTATAGAGTTTAATTCTGTAGAAAAACAAAACATAACGACGAATACCTGTGATGTAACAGAACATGAACAGAACATACCCTTCTCATCATTGCATGTCCCAAGCATCTTTAATATTAAAGATATTTGTCAAAATATTATTCGAAGCATCATTTTTAAGTTAATCAACCGTAATGTATTGATGTTCGATAATGGACGATTCAAGCAATTTACAAAAAGATTATTGTACAAATAGGGTTGGCGTGGCGATATCAGTCTCACTGTTAGCCCGTTTCTCATGATTTCACACCGCAATCATTAACCCTCTAATGTAAATAACGCAACAATAACACTACAATTTTTTCCATTCAGATTAGCCCAGCCCTTTACTACAACGATGTGCTTATTTGTTTGTAATAATAATAACCTTTTTTTATAGTCAACCAGTAATAGCATGAGGGAAGAGTATTGTTAGCACGGGTAATAGCAGTGTAGCACCATGGGTCTTTCTGTCAGACGTGGAAAGCGGACCCCAATCCGGTCGCCACCCATGCATTCTTTCCTACTACATATTTTAATAGCCTTGTAATCGTCTAGTATTTTCACTTGTCGTCTTTGCTTCCTCTTCACGTTGTGTATTTGCTTCTTACTATATCAATAGTTAAGACGTTTGTCTTACAAGGAATGACAATGCCATACTTCGTTTTTACATTTTATATATCATAGCTGGACACATAGATACAAGCGTAATAGATTACAATAATAAAGTCATTCCTCAAACCCCATCCAGCCAGACTCGCTGAGTCTGCTGATAGAAATTGCTACATCTTTTCCTTCCAGAATCAAGCGTCTGACGATGCTCAAAAATATGATAGTTTTGTAGCTTTGGGTTTGGACATTCAAACATCTAATTGGTCAAATATGACGTAAATAATTATAAAGATTGGTTAATTTGCCTAATGACGCCGAAAACCACCCTTATATGGATACAGTAGAAATTTCACACAAGATATCTGTTCACAATTTAAAATTATAACTCTTTTTATATAACAATATGTCACTCATTTTGATTTAAGTACATATTAGACAATATGACTTCTATACAATGTGTGAATCTAATAATTAGCCAAAGATATTAATTAATATGGTACTAACTAAAAGAGCAAAAATTCTAGCAATCTTGCTACGAGTATTCTTTTAAAATATCTAGTTTAGCAGCTCAGAATATATTTCAATACTCTGTCAGCATCAATATATTATATCGTCATGGGAGAAAAAGAATGCAAATCTTCAGACATGGCAATTTGAAATATATGGACAAGCTAAATGGATCTATGAGAACAAATGACCAGTCATACCACTCGTTTTCTAATATATATTTAAATGGTCTTTAATTCTTTCGGGAGTTAAATGGCGAAATTATAAACACACATTAGCTCCAACATATTTATTACCTAGTCTTAAAAGTGTATATATATTTTGTAGACCTATTTCATTTTGGGCCAGTAATATGCTTCACAAGAGTAAGTATAGACATTTATAGCTGTACGTAATATATTTGGACTTCAAAGTTTTAATAGAAGAAATTTTATACAACATTTGGATTTCATTTACAGCTTTAATAAAATAAAAGTTTTAACGTCTGTTATATGGTCAGGTAACTTACGTAGTCGGCATTGAAAGGTTGTATATCCATACTGTTTACATTGGTAACAATGAAGATCGGGTCTATAGTTACCTCTCTTGATCCAATTGCATCCAGCTTTACGGTGACCTGGGGCATGACAAACAAAACAGACATTTGCTGTGAGGATACAGGCGTTGAATGGTAAGTCGTCGACATTTGACTAGGTGACTGTACGATTTGGGCGGTGGCTGAGACGAGGGCTGAGGCTGAGATGTATGCATCGGCGAAAACTGTTCCGTCAGTGCAGAATCCCTGCTGATGTAAGTTTACAAAATCTGAGTAGCTTACAGATGGAGGGTTAAAGGAAAGCTGTTTCCTATCGCGATGACTTGTGATGTAAGGATTAAAGGTTTATCACCAGAATTGATTGGCTCTTACCGTCGATACCCATAACCTTCTCCAAGCTTGGCTGCATTAATTGTATCCTGCAAGGTCTTTGACTGTCCTGCACGTACAAAAACATGTGGAAGCATAGCATCAATAAACCTCAGCAAAATGTCGTAATCATGCATCTGAAGACGAGCACAAAGATTTTAACATTTTACCACTAAATTCTTGTATTGAGAAACCAGGGTGCAAGGCTGCAGTGTTATAGGCCTGAAACTGTAGAACTGGACCACCTTCAATAAAAGTATGACGAAAATTAACACACAGCGCACTCCGTGAAATTTTGTCTGGTGAAGATAGGTGGGTAAACCAAACAGAACGAAGCTGGATTGGCTTCTGATACTTAAGCTTTTGAGGGGATGTGTCTATTCCTTATTAATATGAATTTTGTATTTCCCGTATGTATTCTTTTCCCTTAGTCTGTCGACTAAACGAAACGACTTCACATTACCAATAGAATTAAGAATATCAACTTTAAGGGCGCTTCACACTATCGTTCTTATAGTGTTAAAATATTTCATAATTTTAAAGATGTATTGTTTTGTCTATTTACATTTCAAAACTTAAAAATGGCAAGACTAAATGCTCCTTCACATCACAACCAAGAACGTTTTGAATTTTTCACGGCGAAATATGAAATGAAATGAAATGGGTTTAACGTCCTACTGTTCTGCTCCTAACCTGGGCTAATGAAGACGGGCATACGCCATACAGTGTGCTATGAGGGAAATTTTGCCCGGGCAGCGGCACTACGGTCTACTCTTATATCGAATTCCAACTGCCAAGGGATCTTTTACGTGCACGCCAATGTGTACACGGGACCTCGGTTTTTCGTCCCATCCGAACGACTAGACAGCTTTCCTTGTCAGCCTCTCCGTCCTGCATCACTGACAAGGGAGAACCACGCCGGAAAATTTGGATGAACTTTCTCGGCCAATGCAGGGATCGAACACCCGACCTCCAGGCTAGCGAGCTAGCGTCTTACCCACTTAGCCACGTGATCCCCCGGCGAAATAAGAAAAGAACAGAAAAGCAGTTGGTGTGCGTAGTTTGAGACGTATTATTATGCCAAAATGTAACCCCCATTATGAAATATTTCCTGTTTGTATTAAAATATCCTGTTTTCATTAATTCTTTAGATATATTATACATAGTTGGTGCACTTTAGTTTATCAATAAAGGTAACATTTTCACATAAGAATACATTTTTAATAATCGTTTTCATTATTTCAGTTGCATACCACCTATCTATACCACCTACAATATCTATCGTTTAAATACAAATAGTTTTAAAGATAAGTATAAAATGTTTATGAACTTACCAGAAAAATAAAACAAAACGATGATCATACGCATCAACATTTCCTCTGATAAAGATAATCTCCTATTATGCGCACATCCTATCGCGCTGAGTCGTTTGTAATCAGAGTTGTTAAAAGACTGGAGGGACTCAATTGACGCAATTACTCGTATTAGAAATATGGTGAAATGGGTTTATTAATTGATATATTAAAGGAAAAACATTTGGGTTTTAATAATTAATTGAGTGATAAACAAAGCAAAGAATTCTAGTATATTAATAACAATATAAGTACAATAATATAAATCTACTCAATTAAAATTAAATCGATCGACACAAAGTTATTATTTTTTTACAGTTGTTTATATTAATTTTACATTACATTAAAGTGTATAAATCTTATCTACGGCTTAATCCGCGCTAAATGTAAATTGATAAAAGGGGCAATATGGGAGATTATATAAAGAGTTGACTGTTATCGCTATAATAGTTAAAAATTGATAACGCCTAAAGAATATGCTGGAAAATTCAGTCACATTGCTCCATTCTGAACCGAGATATTAACAATTAAATTTTAGGCATAGACTCGATCATCATCATTACTAAAGTCGGTACAAGAAAAAACAAAGTCTCGATTATCCAGGATTGTAGCGATTTCAGACAAGAGACATATTCTGTCAAACACTGGCCTACACATTGTATACTACTATTACTAAATATTGTAACTTGCAAAATATCGCTGTTGCCATTTGAAAGACAGACGATAAAAAAGGTAAAAATATAGGATATACCTTAATTGTCAAATGTACGTAATTTGTGTGATTACATGTGGGAGTCTATTTGTTCAATACGATCTATTATTCTAGTATCAGGCATATAAAATTATGATGTATTGCAATGGAAAATATCAACAATTAAAGTTAGGTAACTCAATGCATATTTTTATACGACCACATTTTCATGTGGACGTATATTGTCGTCGCCCCTGCCCGTCCGTCCACAATTGTTTGTGAACACTCTAGAAATATAGGTTTATCACCCTAAGATCTCGGTTAATTTCGATATTGGCATGTATCGAACTGTAACTTCATGGATTATGGCCCTTGATTGTACGAAAAATCACGTTTTTAGCTTGTGAACACTGTAGAGGTCAGAATTTTTATCCGATTTAAAAAACCGTTTTAGTATATCACCGTTACACCCTAAGGATGGCTACAAATTTCGTACAAATCGGGCCAAAACTGCCGGACAAAATGGCTGCCTCTCGTACGCAAATATTGTAAATATATGGTATATCAAGGTTTTGGACCCTCTAGAGAGAGGGCACAATTTTGATCCGATTTTGATGAAACTTGAAATACATGTTAATAACCCAAAGATCTTGGTTCCTTTCAACATTCATGCATATCGGATTGTGACTTCCTGAATTATGGCCCTTGATTGTACGAAAAATCACTTCTTTTTTGAGCTTGTTCTCTGTCCATCTCTTGCAAAATGTGGGCGTATCTTGCATGGCAACCGCTTGTTTAAGTTACGAACGGAATTACGTCAGCTATCCAAATATATAAACCTCTTTAGAAAATGAAATCATAATAGTATGTTTCGCTGATTTCAAATATGTATAATATCTATATGTTTGATGTTTTGTTATTATTACTCTTCGTTCTTTATCTGAAATGTTTCATTCTGTTAAGTGTATTATTATTGAACTTATACTTGGCAGTTTGGTCCGGTCTTCATTAATTTCATATTATATAATTTGTAATTAGTAAATACGCATTTAGATTAATTTGAACTTTTCTCATTTAGGCCAACTCCTAAACTTGTCCGATGAAAGTTACTTCCCTTTACCAACTTCCTTATCAATTTACGATGCATAGGATTGGTCGATAAAAATAGCACAATCATAAAGGGCGAATAATTTGAAAACGTGTCTTCCCCCATAGATTAACCCAGGGGTTAGTGGAGTACAACGGAATGAAACCACTGGGGATACCGAGGATGAGACGATACTTGGACCTGATGCACCGAGGTGTTTTCAGAAAGAGAGAAAGACAAAGGGTAGGTTGACATTGTTTCCGCACTATATGACTCTAGCTATAAATAGAGTGGGCGTGACTTAATTTCTATTTATAAAATATCGTCATCATAACCTTGTAACCGCTCTATAAGCCAGGGTTCATCAGATTTCATTTTTAACTTGCTGGTTTTGTTTTTGTATTTATTTCAGAAATATTACTTATATTTTAAACACAGATAAGGTCGAAGAAAGGAAATATATTGTTTTTGAAAGAGCCTCTAGAGGTGTGCAAAGAATGTCACAATAAGTGTGTAGTTGTGCTTAAGCAAAATGTGGGTAGTATGGTTGTTATAGAGGATACATGTGAAGCAGGCAACATGTTTCTGTGGAGTAGTCAGCCATCAAACAATCAGTTACTATTAGGAAACTTGTTACTTTCTGTAAGTATCCTGTTTTCTTACCGTGTTAAACAGAATACATGTGTCTTCATTTACAGACAGAAGTCAATAATTCATATGCAACGGAGAAGGAGGGTTTGAATCGGGGGACTACAGGCTCTGAAAGGAAAAGGGGTTCAAGCAACAGACCTAATCACAGACAGACATTGTTCAGTGAGAAAGCACATGAGAACTATGGAACCAGATATTTAACATTGGTTGGATGTGTGGCATGTTGCTAAAGGTAATGAATAATGAGTCACGTATGTAAAGCACAGTGTGTATACATGTAGATAATAATAACTGACTTTAAAACCAAAATGTAACATCGTGGATCAGCCCAAGTGTAAAATTAACTGCATTTTAGACTCCAAATGACAAAGCCTGAAAATAAGGCCCTTGTCACAGACTTTGTTAGACACAAATTAAAGCCTTGTCAGGCTGCTCAATCTCTGTACAGTGATTCCTGTCATTTTGTCCTTTTCAATGTTATCTATAATATATGTTCTGCATAAAGTTCAAAATGTTTATTATGGCCTGACATTTAGTCAATATTTAAATCGTTACTTTCAGGCATGAAAATGGCCAAACTATTTTTATGACTTATTCATTTAAAACATTTAATTTTCGGGTGTTTATAAGAAACTGATACTGTTATCTAAGAAGAAAGGCTGTGAACATTTAATTTTCGGGTGTTTATAAGAAACTGATACTGTTATCTAAGAAGAAAGGCTGTGAACAGATTGAAGAACAGGCACAATCCATATCTAACCATTGGGCAGCTGTTAGCAGTGATGGAGATGGTGATTTGGTAGAGGCAAAATTGAAGTCAATAACATCTCTGGCCAATCTTCATGATGGACATCGTGAGCTATACCAAAGATGCCAACATGAACACCTAGTCCGTCATTGCATCAAGAAAGGTAGGATACTTTATATTTTTCATGTTGCCCATTCAAACTATTGATTATATATTTATGACAAGCGAGTAACCATAATATCCTCAGTATTGCGATCAACTATAAATAGTAATTGTTTTTGTCAGTAGGCCTAAGTTTTGTTAACATAATAGTATTTAGATTATAAAAGCAGGGGTATTTTCTTTTTTACAAACAGGTCAAAAGCACACAAGCTACTGAAAGAGTGTTTATTGAAAAACAGTTTTATGAAAGATATTTAAAAATTGTCCCCCAGCCGAACAGACATCCAAATTGGAATCTTACCACGCAGTTGTCTGCCAATTTGCACCCAATTTCCAACAGGCTAGCCTGAAAGGTTTGGCATATGAAAGTTTAAGAATAATGCTCTGTTTATATTTTTTTCATTTTCAACATATCAATATAAATGTCTGCATAAATAATATTTATTTATCTGATTCTTATACATTATCATTATTATTACAATTTACATGCTAATTACTATAATAACAGATTGTTATTGACTGCAATGCATAACAATGAAAACTGTGTTAGAAAACAGGCTACTAATAAGGATGGCAATGCCAAATGAAAAATAACCTACCCAAAAGTCAAACAGGAGACCAACTTCGAAGGTTGTATTGGATTCACGTTCTTGCGGTATTGAGTCAGGTTTCTTCTAAATAATGAAGCTTGTTCTAAACGTGGGTCAAAACAATTATTTGGATAATATTTAGTTTGAATAATGTTTACAGTTGTGTGAATTTGGAGTGAATTGATGGAAGACCAATTTAAAAGTCTGTTCTAAAAAGCTACTCATGCTGTGACTTAATTCACAATACAGTACTATAACGAAGTACTTAATAGTAGCAGATCGAAGCAAAAATGGCAAATACTTTTGGGATATAAAAATTAAATTCTTATACATCTTTGTTCCAGGTTATGTAAAGGATCTTCTCCGAGAAGTAATGGCGCTTCGAGAAGCATTTCCCTCTTACAAAGCTGATCAGGTATTGGTCAGTCGAGATGCTCCACCACCAACGCCATTAAAGTCTGCCAATAGGATTGAATTGAATGTTGCCATTACTCGGCATCATTCGAGATTTAACACTACTTGAGTAGAGACCACAGCGCCAGTGTCCGGGCAATTTTTTCTCATAGCACAAAGCATGGCATATTCCCGTCTTGATTAGAGCCAATTAATCTCCCACAATGCCGCTTAAGTAACCATAAAATGATGAGATACTTGAAGGCCATTGTTTGGTTTGTCACTTGTTACCTTAACATTAAGATTAAAGTGTAGTAAGACTATTGTCTTTTAATCTAACTGATTGATTGATTGCCTGCAAATTAGCACTAATCATTGATTACAATATACATCTTTTCAGAAATCCACCTTAATAGCTTACATGTCTAAACAAGGGTCTTAAATAAAAAGTACTAAATGAAAATGTTTAATGCCTTCTTAGTTTTATTATGATTTGTTAAAACTGATTTAAATCTTAATTTTATAGATTATAATGAATTGGATTTGTGTCAGATACACTTAATTTACTTCTTTGGTGCTATTAAATTTGAGGCTTGTTATATTGGAAATATTTATATGTGCTATAATATAAAATGTAATTTTTGGAATGTAATTAATTACATTTCCACTACTCATTACTTTTGAAAACTTCCATTACTTATTACATGGCCATTAATTAAAAAATGTAACGATTATATTCGATTACCATTACCTTGTTAT